CCCCCCCCCCGTCCGCGGGCCTGCGGGACTCGGCCGCTCACCGCGGCCCCCCCCACCCCCGGGCGCTGCGCTGTGCTGGTCTCGGGCCGGGGAGAGAGACCGATCCCTTGGCAGCCCGAGCGCGGCGTTGGCTTTCTGGTCACGAGCCCCGGCTGCGCCCACTCACAGGACCGTAAAGAGTGAAAAATGTCTGCAAAGGGGGTTTCTCCACATTTTTCAGGTGAGAAATGTAAGGGGGGCAGTGGATGAGCAAGGGGGTGTGGGCACCGCGCCGGGTGCCCGCTCAGGCCGGTCCGACCCCAGGGGGCCCACCGGGTGGTTTTCTCTGGATGCGAAGTTTGGGCCTTGTGACAAGAACAAGGGGCGAGGTGGGCGGGGCCGGGCACCGCGGTGCGTCGGTCGGCGCGGACAAACCTCGAGGGCCCCGCCTGCAGGCCTGTCTCACCCGCTCACAGGGGACGGCGACGCGCTGAGCTCGGCCCCCGCGTCCCGGGGCCCTCGGGGCCGGGCTGTGTCGGCGCCGCCAGGAGGCCGATGCGCCCACTCAGGGGACCCGCCTCGGCGCCGCCTTGCGGGGTACAGAGCCGGCCGTGGCCTGGGCCGCGCCCGATCGGGGCAAACCGGTGCTCACAAGCCTCGGTCCCCTGTTTTCTTAGAAGAAACGGAATGTTCTGAGACACAGCAGTGGTATTTTTCAAAAAGGTTTTTGTTGTTTTGTCAGTTTGCGCGTAGACCAACCGGCACAAGAGAGTCATGGGCACTTGGCTTCAGTGAGCCTGTGAGTGGCTCTCGCTGCAGGGAGCTTCCGGAAGCTTCTGGCGCGCCTGACAGATGGCGTGGGTTTAGGACGCGCTGGCGCCCGTGTGGCTCTGAGCGGCGCCTCTGCCGGCCACACCCCCGTGGGACGGTGCCGGCCTACTGCGCGCTGTTCCAGACGAGCGACTTTACACGGGCTTCCCGGGGGCTTTACTTCAACGAGGAAGCTTTTGGGGGGCACACTCCACAGAGAGTAGAATTATGTGCATGTCCCAGCCGGGGAAACTGCATCAATGCCCGGGTCTGGGACCCCAGCGAACGTGTGCTGTTGGTCTGCCTGGGGCTACGGGCCAGAATGGCGGCAGCTCTGCTCGCTGCCCCGCTGGGCCCTCCGCTGGCCCTGCTGCCTCAGCTGCCCCCCCGGCCCTGCTGGGAAGGGGGAGGGGGCGCCCCATGTTCCGCACGCTTCCCTTCTTGCCTCAAACCCAAACCCGAGGTTTGCGTTGCACCCCCAGGCGGGAGCGCGGCTGGCGCCTGACGCCCTGTCAGTGAAGGGTCAGCGGGGACGCACGTTTGGGCCCCTCCTCCCGTTGCCCCTCTGAAGCGATACCTGCGCCTGCCGTTGGGGTGGCAGGAGGGCAGCGAAGACAACGCTCCGCCCCAGCCCGCGGGGGGGCGTCTGGCCGCTTCCGTCCACTGCAGGCTCCGTCGGAAACGCGCACAGTGCGGCAGAGGATGGTTGTTGCTGAGGAGAAAGACAGCCACGCGGCTTCTGGCTCATTCGAGCTGAGCTGCCACTTGGCCGTGCGGCTGGCGAGACCAGCGGCCAAGCGTCCGGGGCCCCTGGCCCGGCCTGGACGCTCCTTCGCTTTTATTTCCACCCTTATGGCACCGGACCCGCTTACGTTTAAAAAACTAGTCTTTGGAATGTTATTAAAATGGCAGGGGGTCACCTGGGTTTCAGAAAACACACAAAGCTGTAACCAGCTGTTAGTGAAAAACCAAAAATACTTGTGACTCTACTTGGCATGTGCCTTAGAAAAAGAAACTCCATCGTGATGCGTGAAGCCGTCGGAGCAGAGTCACGACAACGCAATGTGCTCCGCGGCTCGGCGGCCCCGATTTGTGCTTCTGTTGTAGGCGTGAGCTTGTCCAGTAATCTCATCCGCAAGGACTGAATCTTCACTCTGCCTGGAGTCTTCTTCACGTCTCGGCAAGTCAGTCGTTAATGACGCGCCTAAAGGAGACTTCCAAGAAATGCCTTTTCTCTCTTACAAAAGTGTAAATAAATTGCTTTCTAATCATGAGTTCTTGGGGGAAAAAAATCCCAAGCTACAGAAGTAAAGGAAGGTCCGCTTTAAATGAACACCACTGTTCTCACCACATGATGTAGAAGTGAGCGTCCATAAACCGGAGGGCGCAGCCCGGCCCCTCGCCGGCCCTGCTGGCGACCTCCGCGAGCCCAGGCCGCGTGCCTCTCTGCGTGGCGCCTGCCCCTTCGGGGGCCCTGGGCCGAATCGCGCTGGATCTTCCAGAGCCGCGAGGGGCCGGGCAGAGCGGGGGCCCCGGCCCCCCCCGTCCCAGGGCAGCGACGCCCAGCCGCTGTGCTGCGGGAATCTTAGCACACGCGACCCCCGACTGTCCACTGAGGGCGCTGACCTCTCGCCCCTTGGATGCCAAGGTAGAGAACGACAGCAGCCGCGCAGCAGAGCCGTCTGCTGTGAGCGAGTCCGAATCACCCCGGTTTTTCTGTCAGGTCGGCAAACGAGCACGTGTGGGCGCCGCACAAGGGCCGTCACCGGCTCAGGTGTGCTCCGCGAGGGAAGGTCGAAAGTCGCTGCTCCTGCGTCTTCTGCGGCTTTGGCGGCCGCCCTGAGTCCTCTTGCGAGCGTGAGCTGCGACCCGTGACCCGCAAACTCCTGAGCTCGGTGGACCTGCGAGGACCGTCACAGTCCACCGGGCACCCACGCAGAGCCCTGCGGGCGGCCGGTGCCGGCCCCACAGCGTCCCGCCGCCCCCGGGTGGGGCCCCGTGACCCCAGAGCCGTGACCCGCGGGCCGCGGGTGTGGCCGCGCGGTGCCCGGGGAGACACTTGGTGCGCGTGGACACGTGACCGGGGCCTCCCCTCCGTCAACGCGGTCACGTCCCGGCTCTGACCGCTGTGGCCGCAGGAGGGCCGCCGCGTCAGGGCCCGACGCCCACCCTGGGCTTCCTGCCAGGCAGCTGGGCAGGACGCTGCACGTGGGCGCAGGCTCCTGGGCTGGCCACTCAGCCGGGCTCAGCGCGCGGCGCTGGCGAGGGGTCAGCGATGCGTGACCCGGGGCTGCCCAGAGGGTGACGCGGGGGCTGGGGGAGAAATAGGCCCCAGGCTTCTGCGGTGGTTGTCTGTCCATCCCGTCCACTCTGCACCGTAACGACTGACGTTCCCGAGGTGCCTGCACCTCCCGCCGCCTCATGGCGGGCTCTTCACTCAGAGACACACAGAGCGTCAGCGGAGCTTTGACAGGGAATCTGTGGGTAACGTCCCCAGCATTGTCACCTAAGTCCCACGGGAACTCCAGGTTCCTGGGCCCCTTCCCCCGGGAGCCAGACCCCAGGCCCTTCCCCCGCGCCCTCCCCTGCCCTAAGGCCACAGGGCCCCAGGCGGCGGAGGAGCCGTGGCCGGCACAGCCCGTGAAGCCCAGAGCCTGGGCTCCTCAGACACTGTCGTTGGGGACTAGACACACTGGTGACTGGAACTGGCCCACTGTAAGGCCCTGTTGCCGGGAAAACGTTGGCTGGTTTTGATTCTGGCTGACACTTCACCGTTTATCAGCCGTACGAGTGCGATCTCGCTGGGCCGACCAGGGGCGGGGGCCTCCCCACACTTCAGTCGCCTGCGGAGGGTCCTTCCCACGCAGGCCCTGACGCTGTGCTGCTTCAGAGTCGCCCCGGCTGGGGGTCCGAGCGCGGCCTCGCCTGCCCTGGGGGTGCGCGGCCGTGAGCAGTAACTCCAGAAGGGGGAGGGAGAGAGGACGGTTGGTTAGGAGGCCTGAGGTGGGGCCGGGAACGGAGAAGCTGACCGCACAGCACCGCCCGCCCCCTGGGACAGGCGCAGGGCCCGGCCCGCAGGGACCCCGCCCCCGAGCCCGATTTGGCGTGTCGGCCTCCTCTTTTTTTCTTGCACGCACAGGGGTGACCCCAGCTCATCAAGCGACACAGGTTTCGGGGGGCAGCTCTGTCACATGCCATTGAACACTGTGCTGTGCGCTCCCTGCCCCAGCCGGGCCTCGGTCTGTCAGCTTTCACCGGAGGCGCCGGACGAGGAGAAGCCAGGGAGGAAAGGCGCGCGACGGGACCAGCGTCTGCGGGCTCCTCCTTCTCGGCGCCTGCGTTTCTGTCTAATCCGTGGCCAGAGGCGCAGCTGCTCCCGGGCCTTGTCTCTGACCCGCACACGACGGGGGCCCGGACGCTGCCAGGACGGGGGCCTCGGGCTCAGCCACTTGAGCAGGAGCCGGAGCACAGCAGGTTCGCAGGGCGGGCGGGCGGGTGGCCAGGCGCCGGGCGCAGCCGAGGTCACGGTTCAGAGCAGCCTGGCCGCGGGCCCGGGCCTCACACTCACCTCCGCCCTCGGGGAGGGGCAAAGGTCGGCTTATAAAACCTGCCGTGTCCACCTCCTGGGAGAAGTTCACCCCGGAGCTGAGAGCCGTCCAGGGAGGCCGTCGGCTCTGGGCACAGCGGACCGACGCGCGGCGTCCGCCCCCCGCGACCTTCAGGGAGATGTCCCCCAGGTAACGCCCGCCGCTGTCATCCAGGCTCTTCTCCAAACACAGGGCCGGGCGCCCGCTAGGGAGCAACGGGTTGGGCGGTCGAAGGGGTTGATTTTGAAGGTCCCGCTGTGTCTTAACTGCGGTGCAAGTCTGAGAAGGAACGCTGTGAGAAATCCCCATGCGTTTAGGAATTTTATTCACTTTTATAAAGGCCGAAGTCCTACTATGTCATTTTTTCTACGTGGGGGAGAGATTTGTGTCTCTCCCAGGGCCGCCTGGTTGCCGCCCGCGTGAGACGGCGTCAGGCCGTCGCCGAGTCCATCCGCAGGTGGCTGGGGCACTCGCGCGGGGGCTCCGCGCCGGCCTCCGGGGACGTCCCCTGGCCGGGTGGGGGGCACGCACAGGGTCGGCCGCCAGAGGCTCTCAGTGCCCGTGGTGCCGGGGCGGCTCCCGCTGCCCGGCCCGACTGTGCCCTCCTTCCCACCCCGGCTTCAGGGCGCGCACGCTGGCTCTCCTGGGCGTCTCCCTGCTTGTGGCCGGCAGCCAGGTGCTCCTCCCTCTCCTGAGAGCCAAGGACCTGCTCTGGGGTGAGTGACAAGGGGCCGCGGGAGCTCGTCAAGGCTGGGCTCTCGGCTCCAGCGCAGGAAGCAGGCGGGCGGCTCGGGGAGGCCGGTCAGAGCCCCTCACGCTGGCCTTGGCCTTCCCAGGAAAAACACGAAAACACAATTCTTTCTGAAAAAGGACTGATTTTCCCATGAAAACACAATAGGACATGTCCATTTACCTGCTCGGGTATTTGGAAAAGGGTAGCGTTTCTTTGGGGGCGGCGGTGGGTTCCTTCGCTGTAAAACCCCTGTTTGCTAAACGACGCTGCGTTGCCTTTTTTGAGATGAGGTGTCACAGTGTCAAACTCGGTCACGAAAGCCACCCAGATGCAGAGAGATCACATCTGAATGCTGCCTTTGGTTCGCTACGTAAATAAACGAGACACAGAAGAGGAAACTCTGCAGACCCCAGAGGGGACCGACGGGGCAGAGCGTGCGCGGAGGGCGCTCGAGCTTCGGGCTCCGGGACGCGCGTTCACCCCAGGGGCCTAGCCTCTCCGGGAGCTTTGGTGTCCGCGCAGCCAGGCACGGGCTGCCCCGGAGTCCCAGGCCCCCCGCCTCACTGGGAGCCAGTTTTTCTGGCCCCTCGCACCCGGGGCCACGGGACCTCGAGGCGGCGGCTGCGGAAGAACAGACACGGGACCCCGGCACTGCCCGGCCGCTCCCAGAACGAGAACGCAAAGGGAATGGGCATCCTTTCTCTGGAAACTGCGGGGGCATTTGAGTGGCTTATCTTTCGTTAAAAGCGCAAGTTAGAACAGGCAAACGTTATCACGAGTTTCCTATATTACTGGTTTAAGGAACAAAAATATTCAGACAAAAGCTGAGGAGGACGATCAGCGGCGGCCGGGGCCCAGGCTGTGACTCGCGTGCGGCGCGAACAGCACAGGGGCCGGTGGAGGGGGCCCTCGTGCCTGCCACCGGCTCTGCCCCAGGAGCGAGGGCAGCGAGGCCGGGGAAGCGGGGCGCGGGGGCCCCGGGCCCGACCGGGCCGAGGCGAGCGGCTGCTGCCGCGTCCAGGGCTCCAGGGAGAGTCTGAGAGAGCAGGTCGCCGCTGCCCGCCGTGCGCTGAGTGTGGCCTCGCCCGCAGGGGCGTCCGGGGACCCGCCCGTGCTCCGCGTCCTGGAGGAGAGCCGGCTCCTGGTGGACGGCGCCGCCTACAGCGCCCTGCACAGGTACCGCGTCCCCTCCTGGGTGAGCGGGCGGCGCACGGCCCCCGGGTGCCTGGCCCGGGGCGGTCTTCACACCGTAACCGATTTTAACTTCACAGTCACCTCCGGGGTCGGCCCCAGGGACTGTTTCACAGACGTGGAGCTGGGGCTCTCGCGGGCAAATTCCCTCCCTCGCCACCATCGTGGGGACGCCGCTGGGAGAACCAGCGGTCAGTGCGCAAGTCTCCCACTGGCCTGGCAGAGCAAAGCCCAGCGGCCCCCCCGCCGAACCCGCGTCGGGGAGACCAGGGCCGAGTCCTGGCGCCGAGTGGGCTTCTCGCCCCAGATTCAGGCAGGGGCGGGGGTGGGGGCCGGGGCGCGGGCCGCCCCCATGGGCTCTGGGGGCCCATCCGCCCTTGGCGCTCCGCCGACAATGAAGATGCCCCCCAATTCGACGTGTGGAGCTGACGGCAGCGTTGAGAGCACTATGGCCTCAGGGGCCTGTGGGACCCAACAGGCAGACGTGGCCCCGAGGAGCAGGCGGCGCCTGCACCGTTCTCTCAGGAGCTGACTAAGTACAGAAACGCCCCCGACCCGAAATATCGCCCCGCTGCCGTTGGCTTATTCCACGTCCTATTAGTCCAGCCAGAAAAATCCCCTTGTCCATATTGACCGCAAATTAACTTTTACTTATTTCACTGAACCCTGAGGACAAGCGTTTGCCACGAGCTCCCGGCTCGTTTCCTCTGCGTGAAGCCGGCGCTGGGGGGCGGGGGGGGGGGGGCGGGCGGGGAGTGCGGGTCGAGAGCTGTGTCTCCGTCTCAGTAACTGCCCCGTGGGCACAGGGCCCCTGAGACGAGGGCCTCGCCCGGGGTTGGGCCGGCCCGAGCTGCCTGCTCTCGGACTGGAATGTGCAGCTGGGTGTTTAGGAGACGGCGCGTCTTACACAGTCGCTGTGAGTCCCCTGGGTCCAGAGGTGGGTGGGGCTCTGGGAACGGCAGACGCAGGCCGTTCTCTTCCTCGTCCAACAGCGATCAATCGCCGGTGCTTCTGTCCTGTGACCCTGGCCCCGGGGTCGGCACAAACCCTGCCCTTGGATTCCCGCAGCGCTGGGCACCCGCAGGCTCCCCCGAACGTCTGCTTGGCGGACGAGCGGTTAGTTACCACATCGCCGTAGAAGAATAACGGATTTTACATCTCCCCTTGGTGCCCAGAGACCTCAAGAAAAGAGGCCTCTCCCCGTCGCAGCTCCTGTCTGCTGCCAAGCTCCCCGAGCCGGCCAGCCGGGCCGCCGCCCGTGCGGCAGAGATCATGGAGGCCTCGGTGCAGGCGATGAGGCGGAGGGCTGGCCGCAGGCCGGCAGGGCTCCCAACAGGTGGGTGCGGGAGGCGCTGGTCCCACAACCAAGCAGCGGGGTGGGGGGGGGCAGGGTGCGGCCGGGACCTTGTTCAGGCGCCAACGGGGCGGCACCGGAGGCGGGGCCCCCAGGAAGGGGCGGTTCCCGGTCTCTCACAGGACACAAGCGACAGTTGGTACAATACAGAATTTTTAAACTTAACCTGAGAATTAGCTCTTTCTCTGCTCTTCCAATTGGATTTGGAGAACTAGCTGAAAATCAATTTGTCGATTAAGTAGGAATAAAATCGGCAAATAAAAACACCCCCAAAACAAAAAACCCTCACCGAAAAAACAAAACTCTTTTTTGGGGGGCCTGAACTAGAGCATTTACGGGGGAGCCAAACTCAACCTGGAAGAAAGGGGAGGTTTTGTAGACAGACACGCGCGGCCCCTGGTGACCGTGACCGGGGCAGGGCTTGGGGGCAGGGGCAGGTGCCGGGAGCGCTGACGCCCGCGGTGGCCCCGCAGACGCGCTGCCGCAGGACCTGCTGGACGTGATCGCCAACGTGTCGGGCTGCCGAGTCCACACGCGGCCCCCGCGCTGCCCGGGCTCCTGCTTGGCCGACAAGTACAGGCTCATCACGGGCGCTTGCAACAACAGGTACCGCCCTCGCCTCCCGGCCCCTCGGCCGGCTGGACTCGCACGCGGCCAGAGGGTGTGTGACTCCCGCCCTGCCTCGGACTCCCGGGCGTTGTCACGCACCCACCTGCGCGCTGGGGGAGGGGCGCGCCGCCGGCCGCGCGGCACTGAGACCTCGGCGGGGCCTTGGGCTCAGCACGGTCCACGGTGGCCCGCGCGGGGGGGTGGGTCACACACCGAGCAGTCTAACGCAGTGGCAAGTGACGTGGCGAGGACAGGGCAGGGCAGAGCGGTGTGGCAGACGGGGATCGGCCGGAGGGCGGGGACTCAGGGCTCCGGGGGGCCCCGCACGCTGCGCGTGGGCCCGAGACCTGCATCACGGGGGGGGGGGGGGGGGGGGGCAGCCCAGGACGGCAGACCCTCCAGGCTGGTGAGGCGTGTGTGGCTGGGCTCCCAGCCTGAGGCCCTGCCCGGCCCAGGTGCAGAACCGGGCGGACACTGCAGCGCGAGGTGCAGGGAAGACATCGGGGGAGGCTGAGCCCAGGGGCGGGGGGCGGGGGGGGGGTTGGCCAGAATCAAAGGAGCCATTCATTCGTATGTCGGTTCAAAGCCTTTAACCGCCCCCGTGTGCCAGGCTCCGAGGGCCATGCTGTCGCACAGAGCAGCCTCCGCTCTCAGGGGCTGACAGATGGGACCCCGGGGCCCCAGTTCACCCGGGGGAGCCCGGCTCACACCTGTGGGCCCAGGAGAAGTGTCAATAGCTCTCTTTATTACAAAGCATTTCCCCATCAGAAGGGCAGGTTATGTGATCACTCCCCTCATGGGCTCACAAATGTCAACACAGACACGCGGTGGTGACCGGGGCTGCGTCCGGGCTGGCCGAGTGTGGGTTCGGGGAAAGTTTGCTGCGGAAGCTGCGGGGGGAACCGTAGCGCAGCCTGGTCCTCCGACGCCTCTGGAGACAGGGAGCATGAACACAACGAGCTGTCGCCAAAACCACTGCCAGGCTCTGCCGGCAGCACCTGCAGCCGGGGGGTCCTTGGACCCCTTTTTCAGCAGAAGCTGGAAGGCACCCGATTCTCACAAGGATCTGCCACCGCCCACCCCTCGTCGGACTTCTGCAGTTCTCCAGCCTGTCACTCCGCGCTTAGCTGCGCCTGTGCCTGTCACCGAGGCACCTTCCTCAGCACGGCAGCTCCGAGCAGTTTGTCAGGCCAACATATCACTGAACCAGCCTCACCTCCTCACGCGAGGCATCTTTCTGTCAAACGCGATGTGCCTTGCAGCACGTCTGACGACGTGGAACACGTTCCCTTTTAACTGTCAAATCCATCTGCCAAACACGACTTATTCTCTCAGAAAAACCTTGACTTATTTTTCATCCAAATAAATGCAGTAACGCAGGCTCCCTGACACACATCTCACGCCTGAACGGAGGGCTCGCAGCGGTTCCCAGGAACGCGGTTTCTAGCCGCATCTGCGTGCAGAAGTTCCGCACGACAGGCAGGAGGTGGCGCCTGAATGAGGGGCGTGGCACCAGCACTTTTCCAAACTGTGTCTTTGCCCGGTGCCCACCCAGTCTCTGCCCTGCGGGGAGGGACCCCTGGCCGGCCACGGTGCGAGGGGCGTGCCTGACTGGGGGGGCCGCCGGAGGGGCAGGTGGGAACGGCAGGCCCTCAGGCTGAGGAGAGGGCGCACCTGGCACGTCGGGCTCTGGAGGGGCCCCGATCGCAGGCACCGGAAGCCCTTCTGTTGGGCGCCACAGGCCCGGGTCAGGCCCAGGGCCCGGGGGGCCAGCCCAACAGCTGTCCTGGGAGAACCGTTCCCTCCGCGAGACGGGTCACCGCGCCCCCGCCCCCGCCCCCCACTCACCTGCGGGCCTTCGCTTCACAGGGACCATCCCAGGTGGGGCGCCTCCAACACAGCCCTGGCCAGGTGGCTGCCGCCTTCCTACGAGGACGGCATCAGTGAGCCCCGAGGCTGGAACCCCCACTTCTTGTACAACGGGGTCCCCCTGCCCCCGGTGGGTGCCCCAGAACGCTGCGCGACCTGTATCAGGATCCGGTTCCCGCAACCTTCCCCTGAGCTCTGGGTTGGCGGGACAGGCGCCTGCGGGTGCAGGTGTGGCTCCTGCCGCCCTTGCCCCCTGTGGGGGGGGGCACAGCCGACTTCACAGCTGAGGGGCGGGGGCGGCACAGGGTCAGGCTAAGGCCCGTTCAGCACCCCGTGTTTCAGAAGCCCCTGTACGCCCGGGTGGAGGATGAGCCTGCTCAGAGACACCTGTTAGCAAAGCGACTCCTTCAGGCAGCGGGGACGATGGGCCTGCTCCCGGAGCAAATGGCCCGTGAAACCCAAGCCCCATCCACCCTCCCCTTCCTCACCCAGGTCTGGGAGGTGACGAGGCAGGTCATTCAAGCTCCCAACGAGGCTGTGACCGAGGACGACCAATATTCGGACCTGCTGGTGGCGTGGGGGCAGTACATCGACCACGACATCGCGTTCACGCCGCAGAGCACCAGCGGGGCCGCGTTCGGGGGAGGCGCCGACTGCCAGCTCAGCTGCGAGAACCGGAGCCCGTGCTTCCCCATACAGGTGCGACTGGCGCATCCGGCTGCGAAATTCCCTTTGTCCTGTTCCCAGGGGATGGCAGCTGTTAAGCACTGATCTGTGCATATCTGCGCGTGGTGTTCACGTGTGTGCGTGCGTGTCTGTACTTCCTTCCATGTGCCCCGCCCTCGCATCGTCCGGAGCCCGGGCCACTCAGCAACAATTCTTATACTTCAGTGTGTCACTAAACGGACGGATCGGGTTGTCTCGTGACTTCTCAGGGTCCCGCAGTGTGTATGCGCTGTGGCTCCCATAGCATGAGCATCTCCGCTGTTCTCGGCCTTGCTGTTGACCTGCCTTCACAAACACCGAAGCTAAGGGCGTGGGGGCACCCAGCCCCGGGGCGCGCCGGCAGCCGGCCACCGAGCACCTGGAGAGGGCGGCCAGGGCGCGGCCGGGCCCTGGGATGGTCCCGGCGTCGCATCCTCCCTCTTATGTGCAGAGAGACACCGTGCAGCCAGGGCTTCGGCTGCTTCCCTTCAGAAAACACCTCCAGACCTGGCAGGGGACGTCCTCCACCTGAGAGCCAAGGCCGGCGGGGCTCCTAACCTAGCTGAGCAGGCGTCCTGGCCAGGCTGAGCAGCACTCCATCGGGGCAGGCCCCACCCACCAAGGGGGGAAGGGGGCCAATATGACAACCGACAGTTGGGATACTTGGGTGCCTGCAGGGGAGGCCCCAACAGGGCAGGCACTGAGCAGACACTCGCAGGAGGGTGGCCCTGGACGGCGGGGAGGGCTGGCTTGAACTGAGGACAGAGCCGCCATGTAGGGTCCCGGTCAGCGTGGGGTTCCCGGTGTCTATAAAGAGGGTGCCGAGAACCCAAGGTGACTGAGTCCCCTTTCCGGCAGCTCCCAGCCAACGCCTCAGGGACCTTGGGCACCACCTGCTTGCCCTTCTATCGATCGTCCGCCGCCTGCGGAACCGGAGCCCAAGGCGCCTTGTTTGGCAACCTGTCCTCCGCGAACCCGCGACAACAGATGAACGGGTTGACCTCCTTCCTGGACGCGTCCACCGTGTATGGCAGCTCCCCGGCCCTGGAGAAGCAGCTGCGGAACTGGACCAGCGCGGAGGGGCTGCTCCGGGTCAACACGCGCCACCAGGACGCCGGCCGCGCCTACCTCCCCTTCGCCCCACCGCGCGCACCCCCGGTCTGTGCCCCCGAGCCCGGCGCCCAGGGCCCTGCCCCCTGCTTCCTGGCCGGGGACAGCCGCGCCAGCGAGGTCCTCTCCCTGGCGGCCCTGCACACGCTGTGGCTGCGCGAGCACAACCGCCTGGCGGCCGCGCTCAAGACCCTCAACCCGCACTGGAGCGCAGACACCGCCTACCAGGAGGCGCGCAAGGTCGTGGGCGCCCTGCACCAGGTGTGTGCCGCGCCCTCCTGGGGCCCTGGATGGGTGCGCGAAGTTGCTGTGGGCATCCTGATTGGTGCGCAGTCACCGCGGGAGTCCTGATTGGTACACAGAGTCACCGCGGGAGTCCTGATTGGTGCACAGTCACCGCGGGAGTCCTGATTCGCGCACAGTCACTGCGGAAGTCCTGATTGGTGCGTGGAGTAATTGCGGGCGTCCTGATTGGTGTGTTGTCTCCGCGGGCGTCCTGATTGGTGCGTTGTCTCCGCGGGCGTCCTGATTGGTGCGCAGTCACCGTGGGCATCCTGATTGGTGCACAGTCATTGTGGGCGTCCTGATTGGTGCTCAGAGTTACCGCAGATGTCCTGATTGGTGTGCGGTAACAGCGGGCGTCCTGATCGGTGCGTGGAGTTGCCGCGGGCGCCAGCACTCAGGTTCACGCAGCAGCTTCTGAAGGACGTGGTCGCCGTTGTCTGAGCTCTCGTCGGCGCTGGGGCTGGAGGTGATTGTCCAGCAGGGGGCGCAGCAGCCACCGCTACTCAAGCCGGGGCAGGTTCAGTCCGCCCCCTGCGCCGCTGGCTCCCAGGGAACTCTGAGCGCTTTAGGGTTTTAACTCATTTAACCCTCCCAGCCACCCCTTGAGCTGCCAGCCCACCAGTAACTCCGGTGTTTCTGTATTTGAAAACAATGGACAAAATGAAAAGAAAAACAGATTTGTGAACTAGGAAGTTAAACAAGAGTCTCAATTCTTCCATTGTTCATCATGACATTTAATGTGAATCGGAGGATCACAGTAAAGTCTCAAGTTGGCACCCAGATGCGAATCGTGTTGAGGGATGAACCTGCCTGTTCTTCCCACCCGCACCTGCTGCGGTTCAGTGTAAGACACCCCAGAATCTCTCTCTCGCCTGTGACGTGCGTGAGCTCGCTGTGTGGTTTCTGTGGGCTGAGTGCCGACTCCGGCATATACACGTGTGGGTGTGGTGTGCGGTGCGTGTTGTGCGTGTGGTGTGTGTGCGCGCGGTCAGGGCGGCGCGGCTGCTGGGCCGGCACGTGGGAACCCGACGCAGAGCCTGAGGCTGCGGGAACGCTGAGCGCCCTCACTGACCTCTGACCTCGCTGGACAGACGAGGACAGACGGGGAAGTGAGCAAGGGAAAGGGAACCCGCAGGGGTCTGGGAGGGGAGCCCGAATCAGTCTGCACAACAGTATAATGTGACCAGGAACCCGACCCTGTCCCCGCTGTAAGTAAAAATCAAGTCTCAGGTCAGACCTGCATCGTGTGACCTCGCGAACTTAGTGGAGTCCCCCTGCCTGACTATCTGTCAGGAGAAGGGCCTGGCGGCAGCTGTAGACCCACATCCCGTTCACGGGCCCCGGGGCAGGTGCCCAGCCTCCCGCCGTATCCTGCCCCCAGCTGCGCCTTCCTGCCAGCACAGACCCCACCCCCCAGCCCCGGCTCAGGCCACAGAGATCCCAACGCCGACCCTGGCAGTGCCCACGGGTCCCAGAGGAACCAGGAGGTCGCGTGAGATGGCTGGACGGACCAGCACCCTTGGGAGGCGGAGCCCAGAGAGGGAGGGAGGAGACCCTGCCTGCCCTTGGGAGACAGGGATCAAGAGGCAGGACCGGATGGTGCTGCCCCTCCCCCGCCCTCCGTGAGGGAGGAGGACCCCGCGGAAAGGTTTCCGAGGAGTCGCCGGGGAAGTTCCCAAGAGTGGCTGGCGCAGCCCAGGTGGTGAGGCTGCAGGAGCACTGCAGGTGTGCGGCGCCATCGTTCGCGCCGCATCTCGGGTCAGGCAGGGCGGAGGGAGCCGTGGGGAGCACACAGGCGCACACAGAGAGGCGCTGGCTCGGAGGGCTCTGCTTCGTGTAGGCGGCCACTCGGGGCTGAGAGGCGCGGTGTGAGCCTGCAGCGGCCTCCCAAAGTTCAGGTGCGGAGAAAGGGGGGCGGCACCTTTGACAAGCGTACACCTCGACCGACAGCCGGCTCGTGTCCCCTCTGCTGCGCGGGGAAGAGTCCGAGGAAGGAGGCTGGCGGGACGCAGCGGCCGCCCATGAGCTGGGGGGAGGGCCACGCTCACCGACAGCGTCTGTCAGAAGCCCCTGGACGCGTTTGCAGCCCTGCAATTGCATTTGAGGTTGAGGGGCGGATTCTGCGTGACGAAGTCGTGACTGCCCCCAACACAGATCAGGGACACGGGTGCTCCTCACATGTCAGCATGGAGACCCGGGCGGGGCCCGGCTTTCGGGTCTGCGAGTCTCGGACGGGAAGCCACACAGCAAGCCCATGACGCGTCCTCCCGCCGGCTGGGACAGCAGCCACGCTCCCTCCAAGTTCCCAGTCGCACTGAGAAAGCTCATGTCACCTTTTGGAGGGACACGTTTCAAGTGTGCAAGCACAGCCCTTGTCCTGTTTGGAGCCACTGAGAGGGTCCGCAGTGGCGAGCTGAGGTGTGAAGCCCGCGGGCTCAATGGCAGAACCGTTCCTGTTGGGTTATTCCTCATTGGGTGAAGTTGATGGACCAAAACTTTGTCTCTAAATACCAAGACAATTTGATACTGAAATACATCCCATTAAAGTAAAAGCAGAGCCGGTGCGCAGTCCTGGGCCAGGCCTCAACAGGACGGCCCAGCGCCCAGAGCCGGCCGCTTCGTTGCGGAGCTCGTCCGCGGAGATCTCAGGGACCCGCGTGCCGTGGTTTCACAGGATCGAGCTGCTCAGTGCAGGGCGCCCCCAGGCACTGGGTCCGCACCCGTTGGGCCAGGACATGTCGTGCCCACTGAGGTGCCTCCCCGCAGGGAGCCCACGCAGGCCACCAGCAGCCCCCTGCCGTCTGGGAACCGGCCACACTCTGTAGTCGGCCTTGTACACAGAACTCCTGATTTTCCAGAAAAATAAATCAATAGATAAAACAAATAGAAAGAAAAAGACAAAGCAGCTCGGTGCAAAGCCTCTGTCGCAGAGCAGAAAGAAGCTGTGTATCGAGGCCCGGCCCACCCATGAGCGGCCTCCCCACCACCCCGGCGACGCCGACCACTGCCGGCCCGGCTGGCCTCCCATTTCAGACAATGCCCTGGGCCTTGGACTCATCTGTACGCCCACGGCCCACGCTCAGTCCAGAGCCCCGATGGCACCTCCGCCGCCCTGTTGCTGCGGCTCCTGCGAAAAGCTGAGAGCGGAGGAAGACAGTCCAGAAGGGGAATCTCAGTCTCTGCAAACGCGCAGATTCATGAGCGTCGTCCGGATGACACGTGACCCTTAATTACGCGTCATTTCCTTTAAGCTTGGGGAGACGGAATTGTTCAAACTGCATCGTTCTCCTCTATAAAATGTACTGTATTTTGCTGTGTCTAATGAGCACTTTTCTTGCCCAAATTTTTGAGGGAAAAATAAAAGATGTGCATTATACGTGGGTATAACGATTACCTACCATGGGTATAATAACCCAGAGTATAATGTGCACAACACATGGGGGCACATTACACACGGCAAACTGGGGTGCGTCTGCTGTGCTGTCATCCAGGTGTGACACTGAACACATCTCACGTGAAGCCACGTGCATCTTCACTCTCAGGAAAGCTCCCGGAAGAGGCTTCTCCCAACAGGCAGGCAGGCCGGCTCGGGAAGGCTGGCCAGCCTCCTGGACGCGCGAGGCCATGCGGCCAGGCTGAGAGCCCACGCGGGGCCGACCCCTGAGCCTCCATGCCAGGGCTCCCAGCAGCGACCGGACCCCGACGTCGCTGTGGGTCCAGGCGCCACAGCTCTGCTCACAGGTCAGGGGAGAAGGGGGCTCAGACAGAAACACTGCCATGTCTGCGAGGAGCCCAGCGGCAGCAGCCCCTGGCCAGCCCCCCGGCTGTGGCCCACGCTCGGCTGCCCCCCCCGCCCCGTCCTGTCCCACTCTGGAGGGGGTCGGGGGGGGCATCTCTGATGTGCCCCGTCCGGCCCAGCAGTGCGGAGCTCCGAGACCTTGCCAGGAATGGTCGGTGTTGCTGCGCCTGCCCCCTGCGCCCTCACAGGGAGGCGTGGCCTCTCCCGGGCCACACCCAGCCCGGGGGTTGCAGTGGGTGCCGGCTCCGCTGCCTTCGCTCCCCGCTCAGAGGCTCGCACATCTGTTCTTGCAGATCATCACCTTGCGGGACTACGTCCCCAAGATCCTGGGCCCTGAGGCCTTCGAGCAGCACGTGGGCCTCTACAAGGGCTATGACGCCACCGTGGACCCCACGGTGTCCAACGTGTTCTCCACGGCCGCCTTCCGCTTCGGCCATGCCACGGTGCACCCGCTGGTGCGGCGGCTGGACGCCCGCTTCCAGGAGCGCCTGCCCCCGCTGCTGCTGCGCCATGCCTTCTTCAGCCCCTGGAGGCTCCTCAAGGAAGGTGCGTGCCTGCCCCTGCCCTGCGCCGTCCTCTCTTCGGACAGAGCCCCCCGCCCCCGAGGGGCCGCGTGCCCGCCTGGGCGCACAGCGGCGGTCGGCTGGGCCCCCTCCGGCCATCAGTGTCTATGGAGGAAGCACAGGTGCTCAGAGCTTGTAAAGGCAAAGCTATTTCTCAAAAACACGCCTCTCGGGCCGTCGAGGTCTTCGAATCCGTGGCTGGCAGTGCCCTGGCCTCGGCGGCAGCCCCGCTGTTTCGCGAGTGCAGGGTGGGGCTCGGGCCTCGTACCCCACACGGCGGACGGCGCCCTTTCACCCTGACCCCTTGTCTGTCCGGACGCCCAGCTCCACACCGTGTGGCTTCTGCACGTCCTGGCCGGGCTACACGTGGGGGCGAATCGCTGAGGAAACGATCGCCGTTTCGGGTGACGTGTGTGAAGGGTGGTCACCACGCTCCCCTCGTCCCCGACCACACGTCTGTTGAGTGAGCGCAGTGCACGCTCGGAGGCCTTGCTGTCCCTGCAGAACTGGGAGGAGTCCGGCCGCCCCCGGTGTCTTCCAGGTGGCGTGGACCCCCTGGTGCGGGGGCTCCTCGTGCAGCCGGCCAAGCGGCAGGCGCCGGCCCAGCTGGTGAGCGAGGAGCTGACCGACCGGCTGTTTGTGCTGACCAGCGAGGGCACCTTTGACCTGGCTTCGCTGAACCTGCAGCGGGGCCGGGACCACGGCCTACCAGGTCAGCGCCCTGTGTGCACCCCCTCGCCCGCCCGGCCCCGGTTCTGGTCCTGGAGGGGCCGCCCGATGAGGGGCTTGCTCTTGCGGAGTCCGACCTGACGTGAAATGTTTCTGCAAATCTATTGTTAACCTCCCGGAAACGGGCTTTGAAAGCCCTCCCGTCCGTCCACTGAGGCAGCCGCGGGTCCTCAGGCAGCGGCTGCCCCCGAGGCCCCCGGCCGTCCCTGCGCGGCTGCCCCACTTCCCGGCCGCTGGTGTGACCGGGAAGCCCCTTCCCATGCCAGGCCCTGTGCTCTCTCACGGTGCTCCTTGCCCACGTCCCCTCTGGCCCCCGGCTCCCCTTCACACCATCCCCCGGCCGACCCTGCCCCCCGCCCGCCACGGCCATGCCCCTCCAGGCCCCTGGAGCTCAGCTCTCTGGTCGACCTCCCTGCGTGCCCAGTGAGCCTGCCCGCTGCACCGTCTGGCCTCTTTGTGGCCAGGCTGTGGGGAGCCCCCAAGGTCCGGAGTGACCTGGCACATCCACTCAGCAGGGCGGCGCCACGCGCTCCCAGTCCCTGGGTTTCGTGCACAGGAGGCCGAGGTCGGGGCGCCCGAGGGGACGGGGACGCAGGCCAGGGGAGAGCCGTGTGCGCCCTTGCAGGTTACAACGCCTGGCGGGCGTTCTGCGGCCTGCCCCGGCTGCGCTCGCGGGCTGGCCTGCGCGGCGTCGTGGCCAACGGGAGCGTTGCCGACCGGATCATGGACTTGTACAAGCACCCCGACAACATCGACGTCTGGCTGGGCGGCTTGGTGGAGGGCTTCCTGCCGGGCGCCCGGACGGGCCCCCTGTTCGCGTGCATCATCGGGAGGCAGATGAGGGCCCTGCGGGACGGGGACCGGTGGGTACCGGGGCGGCCAGGCCTGCGCCCGCGCGGAGTAGGCGCCGCGGCTCGGTTGGGTCTGCCAGGCCTGGGGGCGCCTGCTCCTGAAACAGTCAGCTCTTTCTTGCACGTGCCAGCTCTCTCCTCTGCAGTTGGTGCTGCATCAGGTTTTTAAAGGACATTCACGTTCTCTCCAGAGGGCCCCTCAGCCTCCTCCTCCCCATTCACGCCCTCATTAATTTCCAAGGGCAGCCTGTCAAGTAGTCAGGAGCTGCTGCCTCGCTCGGAACCGTGTCCTCACGCCTCATGGGCTCCGGGGCGCGGGCGGGCGGGCCCTGCGGGGCCCCCGTCAGCGCACGCTGCTCTCGGGCAGGTTTTGGTGGGAGCGCGGCGGCGTGTTCACCGAGGCGCAGCGCCGGGAGCTGGGGAAGCACTCTCTGTCCAGGGTCCTCTGCGACAACACCGGCCTCCCCCGCGTGCCCGCCGACGCCTTCCGCGTCGCCCGCTTCCCCCAGGACTTCGAGCCGTGCGCAGACGTCCCCGGCCTGGACCTGGACGCGTGGAGGGAGGCGGCTCCCCCAGGTACCTGCCCGCCGCCTGCTACCTCCTGCCAACGGCGCAGGTTCCACGGCAGGAGCCGGGCTTCTCCAAGGGGCGGGTTCAGGGCCACGCGTTCGGGGAAAATACCAGGGAGACCTGGCCCGCGTCCTCGGTCCGGTCCCCAGCTGGGGCCCTCCCTGTGAGGGGACACTGTCCTCCTGTGGGGCTGTGTCAGTGCCGAGTGAACCGTCAGTGACGGGGTGACGTGGGGACAGGAGAGCGAGGGCCCCACGAGCGGCAGCACGTTGCCCATCGGAGGGGAGAGCGGCCCCAGGAGGCGGGTCCAGGGCTGAGAGGAGGAGGTGAGGAGGCGGTGGTGAGACCAGAGGAAGGACAGGGCCCGGGCGCCCCGGGTCTCGGCCCCGAGCCTCCTGTCCCTCATTCTGGACGAGGCAGGCACTGGGGTGAGCGGGGGAGGGGGGAGCCGGGCACACGCAGGACAACCGGGGAGAAGCTGCTGTGAGGCCCCCAGAGGAGAGGAAGCTGTCGGAGCCGTCGGAGGGTCTGCGGACAGGCCCGTCCCCACGGCAGGGCCGCCTGAGCTCCTTTGGGGGGCGCTGCGGGGCCGCCTGCGCAGAGGCCTGTGGGAGCCGGCGGGCCCCTCCCACCGGGGCCGGCTCCAAGCGGGTGGGCGCGAGGCAGGCGGGCGGCCTCCCAGAGCTGTGGGTGCGGAGAGCGGCCGGCAGTCAGCACAGAACGGGGAGCCCGGGAAGAGGGTACAAATGTGAGCCGTCTTAGAGGCTGCATTTCCTGCCGAGACCAGGCAACGCCCAGGGCGCATGCGTCGGGGAAGGACAGGCCCTCCCTGTGAGACTCGCCAGGTGCGAGGCAGGGGACACAGCCGCTGAGCAGGGCCGGCTCAGGGACGCGGGGACGGGAGGGGCTTCTGGCGACTCAGCTGCAGACAGGCCCCCCAGGGGTGAGCGGCTGCCCGGGCGGCTACGGCTGGGCCGAGATGGGCTGCACCGGACTGCGGTCTCGGTGGAGCAGCCTGCGGAGCGGGGGGCTGGCCAGAGGGGTCCCGCGGGCGAACAGGAGAGGAGCGAGGGAGCCGCGGCGTCCAGAGGCCCGTGCGGGATGGCGGGCGGAGGGCTGGCGCTGGGCCGGAAACGGCTCTGTCCACGCGGACGTGACAGCTCCCTGCCCCCGAGGGACGGGCGGTGGCGGAGGAGAGCCTGTGCTTGACTGTACGCCCCCCGTCCCCCACCCAGGGGACACCTGCAGCTTCCCCGGGCGCGTGGAGAACGGGGACGTCACGCTCTGTGGCGACGCTGGACAGCGTGTGCTGGGGTTCTCCTGCCGCCACGGGTTCGCGCTCCAGGGCCCAGAGCAGCTCACGTGCACCCCCCGAGGCTGGGACTCCCAGCCCCCTGTTTGTAAAGGTCAGTCGCTTAACAGGGTCTTTTAATGACTGACCCCAAGTCTGCATTTCCCAAACATGAATTACAAATAAATGCCCTTCACTGGAAGGTGCCCCTGAGCACAGCCATCTCCCCGGGGCCGGGCCAGCGTGGTCGGAAGGGCAGCGTGGCTGCTGCCGACCCCGAGAGGCTGCAGCCAGGGCTCCTCGGAGGGTCCGAGCCGGCAGGAGGGGCCTCAGGGACCCTCAGAGTCTAAACAGGGAGGGGACGACCCCCCTGTTCCCAGTGGGGACGGAGCAAAGCAGCTGGGCTCCGTAGGGAAGGGGCCCGCAGGGGAACCCTCAGCCGCCACGGCCGCGGTGGAGGGCGGGCCACGGTCAGTTCCTCAGACGCCCAGACCCCGTCCTTTGTGCAGACGTGGACGAGTGCAGAGCCGGGGCGGAGACCCCCTGCCACGTGTCCGCCCGCTGCCGGAACACCCAGGGCAGCTTCCGCTGCGAGTGCTCCGACCCGTACGTGTTAGCGGAAGACGGCAGGACCTGCGTCGGTGAGCCCACACCCCACGTGCCGGCCATGGGCGCGCCACACACCGCGCGGTGGCTGAGGGTCCCTCTGCGAGCTCTGCGGGGCTGGTGACGTGTGTCCACCCTGCCGCAGTCCCCAGGGCTGGGAGGGAGCAGGAGCGTCGGGTCTCTCCGTGCGCGGCGGCTGAGCCGCAACGTGCAGAGCGGCCGTGAAGCGGCACCCCGGCTGGGCACCGCCCCAGGCCGCGCCTCGTCCCCGTGGGCACAGCACGGAGGGGCCGCGCGGGGTCACACAGCCCCTCAGTCACAGGCGCAGGGCTCCCGGCTTGGCTCTGGCACTCGTAAGAGCAACATGACACACAGGCACCCGTTAAAAGGGAAGGTCAGACTCCTCCCCTCCTTCCGCGTCGCACGAGCGCGACGCAGGAGAGGACCTCGCACAATCTGGGCTTGGCCCCAGGCCCCGCAGGGACAGGGCTCAGAGGGCCCGGCCTCCCTCCGGACCCCCCTTGGGCTGCCGCGCTGGCCGCCTCCGGGCGGCGGCGTCCTCTCGGCCCAGCGTGTTCACGGCGTCTGCCGTGTGCCGGGCACGGAATCGAGCCGGGCAGGCAGCGGGCAGGGGGCGGTTCTCACGGCTTCCCCCGCGTGCCTGGCCGGCACCGACGCCAGCGAGCCGGGAGCGGGAGCCACGCTGCCCCTCGGCCCCGCCGCCCTCGGGGTCCCCAGGACGTCTGCCCTGGGGCTCCCCCGGCCCCGGGCTGGGAGGACGGGCTCGGGGTCAGGGTCTGGCTGGGACCCCTCACCGGCGCGCTCTCACTCCAGACTCCGGGAGGCTCCCGCGGGCGTCCGTGGTGTCCGTGGTGCTCGGCGCCCTGCTGGTCTGCGTCCTGGCAGCCCTCACCTGGACGGCCATCTGCTGGTGGTGAGTGCCCTCGGGCGGCCGGCGCTCGCTTCCCGGGGCGGGCGGGGGCGGCCGCTGACGACGCTGCTCCTTCCTCCGAGGCTGGTGCGGCCTGTCGGCCTCCCGGAGGCGCACACGTGCACACCCTCACACCCTCACACACAGTCGCGCACACGCGCACACCCTCACACCCTCACACACACACAGTCGCGCACACGCGCACACGCGCACACCCTCACACCCTCACACACACAGTCACGCACACGCGCACACCCTCACACCCTCACACCCTCACACACACACAGTCGCGCACACGCGCACACCCGCACACCCTCACACACAGTCGCGCACACGCGCACACCCTCACACCCTCACACACACAGTCGCGCACACGCGCACACCCTCACACACAGTCACGCACACGCGCACACCCCTCACACACACACAGCCACGCACACGCGCACACGTGAACGCGCTCACAGACACTCCCACTCACACGCTGTCACACTCACTCGCACGCGTAGTCCTGCTTTGAGGTGACGGCTGTCAATGTCCAGCGGAAGTGAACTTGTGAATTGGTGTCACTTCGCACGTCCGGCTCCAAGCACGTGAACGCCATTGGCGTCGTCACTAAACGCTCTTCGTTTGCCTTTTTGTGCCGACGCCGTACCCTGAGCCGAGCCCGGTGGCCGCAGGGCCGGCGCGCCCGCGGAAGTGACGTAAGGGCAGGGGGACGCCGGGCGCCCGCCTCTGAGGGGCGGGGCCTGCGGTTCGGGAGGACCCGGCTGCCTGTGGGCCGCTGTCCGGGCGGGAACGGCTCCCCGGAGCCCGGTCCGCTGACAGCGCGGCTCCGCTGGGGCGGCCGGTGACCGGTGCTTTGTCCCGGACTGGACAGACTGCGAGCCTCGCTCGCCCCTCCTCTTCCAGGTCGCGGGCCGAGCGGTCACGGCCTGGCTGAGCTCTCGCTGCCGCCGGCCGCCGGCCTGCGCTTTCTGTTTTGTGCGCTGCGTTTTCATTTTGATTTGTCTCAAGATACTTCTAATTTCCTCTCTTAAATGACCCGAGAGAGAGACATGGATTTGTTGTTCCCTCATCTACGCATCGTCGGTGGATCCCTGCGCGTGCCCTGCCGGGGGCGCCTCGCAGCCTGGGCGCGTCGAGCGGCGCTCTCACCCCCTGCGCACCCAGGGCTCAGTCGCCCTTTTCATTCTTCTTTGGCCCATTGGTTGTTTTTTACTAGATCGTAGATTTTCCCGTTTCACAGCCATCGACTCGGTGGAGTCTGTAACGCAGCCCCTCAGATCCACGTAGACAAGGAGCCACGCGAGGACTGGCAGGTGCCAAGACCGGCAGACAGCGCATTCCCGAGCCAGTGACGCTCAAAGCCCCGCCCAGGCGCACGGTGTCGGCCTGAGCGTGCGCACAAGGCAGCAGAGCGAGTATTGTGTCCCTTGTTCTCATGGTCGTCGGGATTTTAGGGGCGCGTTTCTTTCCCACCTGAAGAGCCACCGAGCCCGCGAGGCGAGCAGCGATGCGTGGGGCTGAGGGCAGCACGTCTCTCGGCGGCGACGGACATGTGGGGCTGTCCCCAGCCCCCACTGCCGGGCAGGGACGCCGGCAACTGTACCTTAACTTCCTGACACTTCCCCTTTAGGGGACGTTCCGATGACACCACCAAGGCCGCCGGGCGGCCCTCCTGACGTGAACCAGCAGATGGCTCCTGTCTGTGGTCGCTCTCTCGGTATCAGCGGCGACGCCCGCGCGACGGGCACGTGGGGTTCTCCCGAGCGATGACGGCGCTGACCTGCGTGTGCTTGTCCACAGGACACATTGTGACTCCAAGTCCTCGCTGCCCGTCACGGAGAGAGAAGGAGCGGCAGCCTCCCTGCCGGGGACTGGGCGATGCCAGGGCGCTCGCTCTTCCCCCCGCGGCGTCCCCGCGGGGGGCCCAGCGCAGGTGGGCCTCCCTCCCATCTGTCAGTCCCCCGCGGGTGCTTGTCGCAGGCCCAGGGGCTCCGCACGCGGCCCCCGTCCTCCGCATCCGCACAGTCCCCGCCCCTCGATGCCTCCCCGCTCCTCCCGACGCTGTGTTTACGAGACAAGGGCGGTTGGCCCCCGGTTGAGCCCACATTTAGGGAAGCGTGGGCAGGTCGGGGTCCGTGAGCCAGAGCGAAAGGAACGGCGTGCCTGCCATTGCGTGGGCCGGGCTCCAGCCCGGGGCTTTGGGCGCTGCTGCAGCCTCCCGCGCATCGGCGAAGGGGCAGGAGGGGGCGGGCAGAGCTGAGCGACACTGTTGGCTTTTAAAATGCGCTGCTGCCCCAGCGAAATGCTCCGGTTCCGTGTGGGGAGCAGTCGGTCTGAACTGGCCTTTTACCTTCTGCCCAAGCCCCCGAGGGATGGTGTGGTGGAGAGTGACGTGCAGACCCTGGGGCCCGGCCAAAGCGGGAGGGAAGGGCCGACCCTGTGAGCCCCAGCGCTGACAGGACGCGGCCCCGGGGGTCTCTGCGTGCAGAGCGCGTCAGCGTGACAGCGCCACCCCGCGGGACCGAGCCCGGCCGGCGCCGTCGGCCGGAGCGCTCAGCTCGCTTCCGTCCCGCAGGACCCGGCCTGCGGATCCCAGGTCCTGCTCTGCGGGTAGGAAGCCGCCGGGCCGGCCCTCGGCCTCGTCTGGGAGCCGGAAGCTCTGTCCCAAGCGACGGCAGGAGGCGCCACAACTCGAAAGGATCTTTGCTTGTTGAAGGGCGCCCATCGGCCTCCCGTCTCGGATGGAGGGCTGAAGGGTCGAGGGCGGCACCTCCCGCCTTGGCCTCGAGCCTCACCGCCGGTGACCAGACGCGTGCGTGTTTCAGACGCCTGGTCGGGACAAGCCGGCGTGGGCAGTGATCCCTGCGGAACGGCCGCGTGGTCGAAAGCCACCGCTGAGTCCATGTGCACAGGGAGGCCCGCCCGCCGGCAGCGGTGGCCGATGCAGCTGCGGCGACCACCCCGCTGTTCTGCCGCCCATCCATCCTGCGCCTGCGCCTCCCCCCCGGGGTCCCCCTGAAAGGCATTTGCGTCTCGTACACATGTGTGAGCCTTTTCTTCCAGCTGAACATTGGGGAAGCGGTATTTACGTCATACTCATTTCCCACTTTTTCTCAAGTTTTGAGCAAGTCCCTGTCCTGTACTTCCCACTTTCTCCCACTGGCCGGCTCCTCTGCTGACTCTGGAGGGACGGGCCAGCACGTGGGTCCCACGGCCGCCGGGTCCCGGGGTCGCTGGGACCCCACCCCCAGCGCCCTCACTCCCTTGCGCCCCCACGGGCCCTTGCTGGGCAGCGGCCTGCACCCCCATGGCCCCCGCGCGGGAGGAGCTTTAGTCACTTCAACTCCAGAGCAGCCGCCCACCACCTTGCTTTGCACCTGCAGCGATGGGGACCCAGAGGCCAGGCAGGCATGGCAGCGGCCGGCCCTGCGCCTGCCGCCTGGGGCGCCCCGCCCCTCACCCGAGGACAGCGCGCGGGGACCAGGCACAGGCTCGGGGCGTCGGCCCTGGAGCCCGCGGGGACTGGGGCCAGGAGGCCCGTGACGTCCACGGGGGCTTCCTGCAGGGACGCGGGTTTTCCTCTCGCCACCTAACCGCACGATCGTTCTCACGGCCTAGGGCCCCCCAGCCCGAGCCCCGGGTCACCGCTGCGAATAGGGAGCCCACGGGCGACCTCGTGGAGACACCCCCGCAATGCCACCAGCCGCCCGCCCGCCGCACCCGGGACAGGGGAGCTGAGCTGACCGCCCCCCCACCCCCGCCACGGCGCTGCCTGTCCGTTCGACGCCGTGCGCCTCGCGCCCGCGGCTGAGGGACGCACCGCTGGCCAGACCGGGGCCAGCGCCGCGGGGGCCGTGGATCGTCGCGCATCGGTGGCTCGGGGTCCCGACGCCACATAGGGCCTGCTGGCCCCGCAGCAGCCGACGGCACCCGGCAGGCGGCCCTGGCGGTCGCCGCACAGCCCTGACTTATGCAGGGACGACAGGCCCCGCATGAAGAGGGAGTCTGCGTCACAGCAAATCGGAGCTCGGGGACAGGTGACAACAGGGTCCCACCAGAGTCCTGAGGGAGCCCCCCGGAGGTGCCTGTCAGCCCCGTGCGGTGTGGCCAGGGCAGCATCTTCCTCCTCGTGAGCCCACTCGTGGGGCGCGCTGGTCTGACGGGGGCGCCGCGCCGCCTCCTGGCCCTGGGACGCCCGCTGACCACGCGGGCGCGTCCCCTGCAGGACCCTGGGCAGCAGGGAGTCCCCCGCCTCTCCCCCGTGAGGAAGGCGGACGGCTCCACCTGCTGGCCGCCGCGGGGAACGCAGGCGCGGCCGCTCCTGCCAGCGGCCCTCGCCGCCGCCGCTGCCGCCTTCGCTCCATCCCTGCCCACGGGCCGCCTCTTGCTGTCCCTGCCTCTGGTCCCTGGAGTGACGCAGCGCTGCCTGGTCCCTCAGCTGCCACGTGAGGAGCCCGGATTCCTGTGGGCTCTCTGAGCCCGGGAGGAGCTTCGAATCTCACAAGGCCCCACGCACCACGCAGACCGTGGCCTGCGGCTCCCTCGTCGGCCCCTCTCCCGGCACCTGCTTGGGGGGGGGGGGGCGACAGGAAGGGGCAAGGAGCGGGGGCGCGCACAGCCGTCCCTCGGCTCCCATGGGTGCAGCCGAGCCGGACGAGGGCCATGGCCCAGAGGGACAGGGAGGTGGGCGGGCGGGGCCCCTCCCGCCCCTTGGTCCACCCACGTCCACGTGGCAGGGCTGTCCGCTCTGCTGGCCCCGACTGGGACACCAGCCCCACCCGCATCACTTGCGATGACCTGTGTGGTACATGACGCTTGTCAAGCTCTCTGGGCACCTGGTGGCCCAGTGACACAGGCCATGAAATCGGCCACACGGAGGGATCTGGGAAGAGTGCCCACAACTCATGGGGGGGAGGGTCTTGGTGACACCAGCAGACCAGGCGGGGAGTCGGCCCACGTGGCCCGCCACTCGGGGACGGCGGGGGACAAGCCTCGCAGGGAGGGGACCCCTGAAGGGCTGCTCCTCAGAGCAG